TCATTTTTCGAAAAATGTAAAAATGGGCCCTTTATAATACGGAACACTCCATATGATCAATAGTAAGCACAACTAATAATTAATTAATAGTTTTATCATCACGTAATAATTTGGACGAGGCGTACTTACTTGCGGGATAGTGCATTTGATTAAAAAAAATAAATTGTATGCTACGTATACACGTGTAGCAACAATTTCTATTTGTAAAAATACAAGATATTGATTCGCATAAAGTAATTACTATTTATATAATGAATAATTAATATTTCTAATATATATAAGAATCATTTTTTATCATTCATTTAGAGAATAACTACGTTCATGCTTACAAGATACACGTGAAATTACCCCTTAGGAGTAATTAAAGGTAATGGCTTGTCTTCACGTGACAAGTCACATATAATGCAATGTACGACATCATTTTGTTCAGTCTTAAAGGCGTAAAGAATTGCCCGGGTATAAATTTAGTTAATAGCATAGTAGCATTATTAAAAAAATTATGAACAATATACAATATTTCTCGCAGTTTACATAGCATTTTGTCTTTGTCAAAGTTCTATGTATTTGAAACCATTATTCTAGTTTCGATAATTTATAATGCATATATGTAGGTAAGTACGTACAAAATTTCTTTTTTCAAATTAGTATACATTTTAGTGATTGTATTAGAGCAGTTTTTTTTTCTTAGAATACATTCTTCAATTTCTCTGTCTCAATCCAATTAAAGTAGGTTTATAAATAATAATATAAATAAACCGAATTAGATTGGAGTGATGATGATATATAATTTTTAAATATTACTATTATGTAGCCTTTTTAAAATTATGGCGTTATATTGTATTCAATTATTTGCAGTAGTGTATAAAATATAAAAATGGTATATTCGTAGTTATGTATGTAAATTGATTACAACATGCATTTTACTGCATAAACAATTGTATTAAACTGTCTTAGTGATAATTTAAAGAAAATTTTCTAGTCCTTAAATTGATTAGCATTTACCGTAAATGTTATGCGTGTCTGAAGACTTACAGTAAGAATGGAATTGAATACTTTATTAATTATTTATTATTACTGTAATTACATGTAATTATTAATACGTAATAAACCTAGTGCTAGATTTTCGTTTCTTAGAATTTTGCGTTTATTTTAGGTAAAAAAAAAATACAGTGCATTAACATTAAATTTACATCAATGACAGGAATCTTTAAATTAATGGTAACACACAACCACGGCCTTTTCCGATTTCTATAATCGTAACATTATTACAGTAAGTGATAAAATTTTCTTATTACTTCTCATTCATGCTTTTACGAGGTACGCTGGTTAAACAAGCCTGCAATTGTATCCTTTCATAAATGTTAATTATAATAACTTACGGGATCTGCATAATCAATTTACTTTAAAAGTTTTTTTTCCGACACTAAAACAACGGCAGTACGACGTGATCTGCGCAACACCAACATCTTTCTCGTCGAACATGTTTGCAAACAAGGTCATACCAAACTGGAGTAATTCCCTTTATCGTTATTGAGTGAATCATAAAAAAATATGTGACAATTATTATTATAGGAAAACTTTCATCTGTCAAGGTAAAGTTGATTTTTATATTGTCTTCTATTAAAAGTTGTATTTGATAATCCTGCTGTTGTCAAAAAGAGTAATAGTAAATGGTGTACAGATGTATTGTTCAAACAAGACTAAAAACAGTGTTTAAACTGTTTCAAATATCGCTAGTTTGCTTTATCCACATTATTATTCATTGAATAATTTTTTTATCTACGAAAATACGAAAAAAATATTATCTATTAAATATTATTATTAAATAACCCTTCAGCCTGTTTTACAATATTATCACGTGTTGCTTTCGTCATCTTATCTATTATTATTAAATTTCTTATTACTACCTATTAAATCGTTTCTGATTGGCAATTTGCCTCAAAATTTTTATCATTTAAATACTCGATTCGATTTCATTTCCTCTTATTTTTTATTTTTATTTTCCCTTCTTCCTTGTATTTATAATATCTTTTTGTATACTCAAGTGAACTTTAGCTACATGAAACGCAAAAACACGGACTTATCTATCGATACAAAACAAGCTAAAATGATAACCCCTCTTGATATATTACCTTATTTTCAAAATGTACCTGTCACTATCGGTCCTTTGGGAAAGGATGATTTAAAATCATGGCAAGAATATAAATGTTTCTACCAATCAGATGAAGGTCGTCTAGCACGTGAGCACACTGCCATCGTCTTTGATGAAACTATGTTACTACATGAATGTCCATGTAAATATCGTGATAATAAATCGACTAGTCACCCTGAGAATCCTGAACGTTGTATTGAAATAATGGGAACATTTGAGAGTCAAGGGTAAAAAATTCTTTTATAATTTGTGAATTATTTGATTTTCATAATTTTATTCTTGTTTTAACTTTTAATCATTTATGGTGTCTTATTAAGCCTTTTACGAAAGGTTAAACGAATACGTTCAAGGATGGCAACAAAAGAAGAACTTGAAAGTTGTCATCTCGGCGATCATGTTGCCACATATTTCTCCTACAAGCGAATCTGTATGCCAAAAAATAAATTAAATTTAGATGAAAATTTAGATGTGAAGGTCAGCGAAGAATCTATTGCTGATATTGAGAA